TAAGCAATGGGGATAGTGGAATCACAACAAACAGAAACCCAGGAAAGTTGAGCAGTAAAGTCGACTAACAACACATGTGTCAGGCCACATGTTGGTTGACCAGTGGAATGTCAAGCGCATCAGCCCATGACTGTAGGTTGCTAAGCTAATTAGGACAAAGGTAGAAGAAGCCCTCGCAGCAACAGAGTTTTCCACGTTTCTCATCTCAATTGGACTTAGACATGTGACTACCGCCCCTTATCATGCGTCTTCGAACGGTTTGGCTGAAAGGGCTGTACAAAGTGAAAAATTTGCTATTCGAACAAACAGGCGCGCCATTGCGTGTGCGTCTAAATCGTGCTTTTTGTTTACCGAAACATGGTGAACGATATCACCGGAAGAAGTCCTGCGGAGCTTTTGTTCGGCCGCCGTTTGCGCACCCGATTGGACTTACTGCATTGCACTCCGGCAGCTGAAGTTTGCGCAAAACAAGAACGGGTGAAGGAACGCTTTGAGACTCGCAGCAGAAACAGGTTTGTAGCAGAATGTGCCATCACTAACCGTTTTCGCTGGAACCTGTGATTAAGCGCAAGCGTTTAATTCAATCATATTGAGCCGATTGCCTTTCTGTGTCACACCATTCTGTACAGAATTCTCGAGGCAGGCCGAAAAGCCTAAGCTTATTCCGATCCAGTGCTTCTCAACACAGCTGTGTAAGAATCTGTGATCTGTCAATCTGTGTTCAGCGCTCTGTCGACGTTCCAGTCACTCGCCATTCCTTTTGACCTTGTCAGTCAGTGTGGCTGCATAACCGATCACACGGACCGCGCGACCACGCCGACCGCTCATTTGACCTTGCAACCACCACGCTCGCCTGACCGATGTGCGCCGCTCTCAAAGCTGTAAAAGTACAGAACGCTAACCAAACCACTGGGTCAGGTAGCGACACTAAATCGAATGGCAGAAAGGCGAAACCGAAGAGACTTCCATCGAAAGGCATTTGCGGGTTAGGAGAATGTCATCGGGTAGTAAATATCGGTCTGGCTTGTTGGCACTGTTTAGAATGGTACCATACAAAACGTGCAAATGTGTCCCAACAGCAGTTACGGGAGCGAAATAGCTCCCAGGATGCATTTTGGTTCTGTACTACGTGTTCCACCATACCCCTCGTTAAGTGCTTGCTTATCCTAGCTGAGAAATGCGACCGATTAACCGCAGAAGCAGAGCAGAGGATAAACAATAAGATTACTTCAATGGAAGCGAGTATGCACCACAGAAGCGTAGCGGCTTCTAAGCAAAGGAATGCTGAACAATCCACTTCCTTTGAACCGCACTCAGCCACCTCTCCATCTCCGTTGTCTTCTCCAACTTTGGTAGAACGCCGGGCGAAAACAGACTGTACCTACGTGAATCAAACAGTACTCACAGCAACGAAAATCAGGCACCATTCAAAACGTCTGGTTAAGCAAATTCCACTAGACCTGTCATCTAGCATTAACAAAGATGAGGCAGCCAAACACCAACCCTTGGTACCTGTAGCTCAAATATCTCTTGTCGAGACTAAGCCTCCCAGAACATCGGTTACATATGCAGAGATTGCTGCAAGGGTCCACCGAGAGGCCGCCGATGCGTCCTCTTCCATTGTAAACCCCGTTAACGCGAATAGAGAGAAAAACAGCAAGCAATCACTTGTCAACAAGTTAGGACAAATGAGTTCCATACTTTGTAGATCGACGAAGAAGGGATCCAACAACAGCGCCCGGACTGTTGTATGCTCAAATGTCCCTGAATCTACCGCCATCACATTGCGGGATAAGTTATCAGACGACCAAGACCAATGAAACTCATTGTGCATGCAGATGAGTATCAAAGCCAAGCCCATAAACTTGTTACGAATTACTCGTCATCCGAACTCGCCACACTATGGCGAACCCAGACTTATTCGAGTAACTCCAGAATCCTCCACCGACGTAGAAAACGTTTTGCTCTCCGCAAGCGCGCTAAAACACGAATCCTGTGGGATACGTATCTATCCTGATGTCCCTTGGAGGCGCGACAACCAAAACGAAACACCGAAGAGGGGCACAGCAAGCAAGACCGCCTAAACACAATCTTCATACATGGCGTGCCAGAACATCCTTCTAACGATGTTCAAGAGACCAGAAAACACGATTTAGAACAGTGGCGGTTCATTCGTGAAACACTTTCTTTGGATAATGTCGTGGCACTCTCGATCACCAGGATACCTCTCTCACCAAATTATAGAGGATGCGGCCCTAGAATCCTAAAACTTGTGCTTCAGTCAGAGCAACAAGCAAAGAATGTTTTGGATCGATGACGGAGAAATCGGGAACATCTTCCTTCCGAAATTCGGTTAAAGGTTGCAAACACTTTGCACAGCTCAAATATTAAAGCAACTGAAGCAGCAAGCATACCGACGAATGTACAGAAGTGTAACTTGACTGCTGCTTTAATTGACTCTGACGTAGGTCTAAACGAAAATTGGGACACACTTTGGTCGAATCAAGTTGCAAACGAGGTATCAGTGACCCATAAAAAAACGAGTAATTGCCGACCTCCCATCGGTCGGCATTCTTCCACACTTGACAGCTTTACCCCACTGTGGACTCCTAGAGACCGAGAAACTGGCCTGCTTTTATACGAATGCTCAGGGTCTTTCTAACAAACTGGCTGAACTGAAAGATCGCCAAGCTTCCGGCTCGTATGAGGTCATTGGTATCACCGAGACATGGTTGCACACGGGAATGACGGACGCTGAAGTTTCGCTATCCAGTATGTCGCTGATCCGGAACGACAGGCTCACAAAAGGAGGAGGGGTAATCCTGTACTACCGGAACGACTTTCATTGCGAAGTCGTGGAGGATTCAGACTCGCAGTTCCCCGACTCTATTTGGTGTCGGTTGCAGTTAAAAGGCAGGGACGCTTGCCTTATTGTCTTGGTGTACCGCGCCCCTAACTCAACACCCGAAACCAACTACCACCATCGGCTACTTTAAGGTGCAGTTTACAACAAAAGTGCACTCACATTCTTATCATGGGTGATTTCAATGTACATTGTTTAGAAGTCCCTGCCACGATTGGAGAACAAGTTAAAACCGATCTACAAGATTTAGTAACTACTGTTCCTCCTTACAACCACATCACATTGCCCACTCCGTCCAGAACTGGTAACAGACCATCTGTGCTGGATCTTGTGCTTACCAACTAGGAGCATATGATTGATGCGTTGGTTTTAGACTGCCCGTTGGGTCGCAGTGATCACGCAGTGATCAGTTTCAACTTCGTTTGCTGTGCAGAATATCTGAATGATAACGATGAGACTGTGCGAACCATCACAAGGTATGACCGACTCGCCCAGCTCGTCAGCGCCACAACATGGTCTTTCCTCGAAGAACAACCCCCAGAAGTCGCCTGGGTCGAGTTCGTCAACACATTCAGTCAGCTGATTGCACAGGATTCAGAGATAAAAGCTTGCAATAAGTTCAAATCAGTTTCTATCGTTAGGAGCAGAACTCGAAAATGGGTGACAGTACGCAACGCAGCATGGCGAGTGTACAGAGAAGCTCCAGCACCAGTAACTTGGGACAATTACGTAGCCCAACGTAACCACTGCACTCAACTGTTAAGAGAAGATAAAGCCGCCTATCAGCACAACATCGTAAAAACCTTCAGTGCTAAACACAAACTGCTGTACAAGCACGTTAATAGCCTACGAAAGGTGAGGCAAGGATTTCCGCCACTCAAGACGGCTGATGGCCCAACAAGAACATCTATGGTCGCTGCAAACGCGCTGCAGATGCAATACGCCCCCACGTTTCAAGGAGTCTTGCCACCAAGCGATCTACCAAGCTTTGTATTCTACTCACCAGGACTAACCCACATCAATTTTACCGCAGAGGCTGTATAGCAAAAGCTGACTTCTCTACGCAAACACAGCTCGCCGGGTGTCGACACCATACGTCGAGAGGCATTGGGAGCAGCAGCAAACCAACTGGCAGGACATTTGGCTCAGTTTTTCCAGCGCTGCTTAGACCAGAACCAGGTTCCCGCCATGTGGAAGCTTGGAATAATAACCCCGATTCACAAAGGTGGAAGCAGAACTGATCCCTCCAACTACCGCCCAGTATCCCTTCTTCCTATAATCTCCAAGGTCATGGAATCCATAGTTGCCGATGCACTGGTGTGCTATCTGGAAAACTACAACCCCATAACCCCTGAACAGCACGGTTTCCGTCGACAGCGGTCATGTATAACTAATTTACTCATTGCACGCAGTAGTTGGACCGAGGCAGCCGACGCTGGAGAAGGTGTTGATGTGATCTACCTGGATTTTTCCAAGGCTTTCGATCGTCTAGACCATCGGATACTACTATCCAAGCTGCAGCATTACGGGATCGGAGACCCTCTTTTAAGCTGGATCGCCAACTTTCAACTTCAACGGCAATTAGTGGTCAGAGTTCGAAGCTCTTTATCGAACCCCATACAAATCTAGTGTGTGTGTCGCAAGGCTCAGTTCCAAGTCCACGTTTGTTTTTGGTGTTTATTAATGACCTTGCACAGGGAATCGCTTCAAACTTCCTAATGTTTGCCGACGATATCAAGATCTGGCGCAGGATCCAGGCAAACACCGACCAACATGTGATTCAGAGTGATTTAGATACGGTGTAGCAATGGTCGACCCAACACTTATTGCATTTCAACGTCAGTAAATGCAAGGTGCTTTCCATCCGACATCGGAGCAGCTACTCATACTGACTCGGAACGGATGTACTGCAACAATCAACTCTCGAACGTGACTTATGTGTCCTGGTTCAAGATGACAGACGTGCACAACTTACACGAAGGCGTGGATTTTGCTAGTCAACTGCGGTGCGTTCCCTCTGTTCCTCACTGATTCGTCCAATTTTCTGGTTTCACTTTCTCACTATTAACAGTTAGCAACCACGCTCAGAGCCATTTTTTATTTTTGTTATCGTGAAACTTACGTTTGGTTTTCTCTCATGTCTGCAGTAAGGACACGCGCGATGAGAAAAAGTTGTGTTGTAAACAAGGATGTCCCCATCTTAGTTCAGAAGCTCAGCGAACAAACTAAGGTACCACGCAAAACATCCGGCGGTAGTAGCAGAAAAAGCACCCGAAAGAGTGTAGGCGCTGTGACAGATGGTTGTGCATTTCTTGCTGACCTGAAAAAGACACCTGAAAAATGTCCCTTTGTAGCTGAAACTGCGTATGCTGCGCTATCATTAAAAGTTGACACGCTCACATCTATGCTGCAGCCCATGCATAGTCTGTTTGCCTTATTTGAATCGCCCTCAGATATTGGTAAAATGCCTATCACGAAATGTAGCTCGCTGATTGACTCAATTTCGACCGAAGTACAGAATCGAGTACGTTGCTCACGCAATGCTGTGGTTTTTAATGTACCTGACAAGCTACCTATGAAAACTGTTCAGAGAGTTCTACTGTCTGCGTGCGGCATGCAAACTTGTTGGTCCAGCTGCACTAGGCTACGTAAAAAGTTTATACGCTATGACTGTCCCATACTATTCCAGTTTGAAAATGAACTAATTGCTAGACAATTCATTCGAAATTGCAATTTGATTCAGCATAATACGACTTTCAAACGTCTGAAAATAATAGAGGACAAAACCCCCTTACAGCGAGAGCTTAGAAGACGACAGCTAGAAGCAAACCCGACTGCTAAACCCCATTCTGAAAATGTTTCTGTTGGTGGCAGCGACAAGTTTGGCATTTGTTCCACGCCTGCTGCAGTTACGGATAACGTGGCGAATAACGAAATCAACTCTGGTACCCCAATTAGATCGCTTGATCACACGGATCAGTCTAGCCCGTTATCTGCTGTGTCTAGGAGTACGCCCAGTTTCGGCACTTCGGCTATGCCGGCCACAAAATTGATCACCGGCACACATCCACCAGAACGAAATTTCACGGTTAAGCGTGATAAGCCGACCAAACACAAAATGCCTGCAAACCCCAGCGCTGCGGTTGTGCACGGTGCTGCCTCTCAAAAAGCCAGTTCCGGTAATCCTAAAAGCTTCTTCAATGCTGTTTCATGCCAGAAAAGAGGAAACAATGCGGTTCAGACAAAACCAACTGCAGTACCCGTTGAACCCCATATTCAATCACAGCCACAAACTTCAGCCTGTGTTATCCCGCCAAAAGTCTACCCTGGCCAGTATATAGGATCATCTAAGACATCTAAGGACTCAGGAAAATGGATCGATTGTATGATGACGGTTGACTTGGATTTATCGAGAATGTCACCGGATAAATCCATAGCATCGCCTTGCCTGAATAGCCATCCATCCATTGATCAAGGCCATGAAGGCACACAAGGTGCCCCAACATCTTTGCAGATTGAACGCGATTTATCTGTTTATCACCAAAATCCGGACTCATGTTTAAAAAACACGATGTATTCTGTTCGAGCTGCATGGATTGACACTAGTGTGCCTCCACCGCTTATAGTGAAGCCTTACGACTCCAGCGCACCTAAGCAGGTTACATTCCACGATGAAAATGACGATTGCGTATTTACTCATTTCACCAATCTATACAATCAACAACCTATTAGTGCCACGACGCAGGCGACACAGCCTCGAAATTTAGCGTCTACTAGCGAGTTCCATGGAAGCCCGCTCTATAATCCTCCTGCCCGCATGAGCTGCTATGCCGACCATGAACCCGCCCCCGTATCCCATTTTCTACAGGGCCATACTCAGTCACAACCCCCTCCCCTGTGGCTACCTCCCAATCCCTTTTCAACGAAGGTGTCAATCCACGCCTTGTTTCACCAATTTTTGGCATGGGCACAGACACAAAGCTATCAGACCCAATGTTCATAAAGCAGCATAAACAACGTTCTTCACATCTCGCATCTATGTTAATATTTTTGATTAATATTCGTTCGCTTCATTCCAAGATCCACATACTACGCTCATTTGTTTCTGTGACCGATCCTGACATAATATTTATAACTGAGTCGTGGTGCCATGACGACATGTCTAACACCCAGCTAACCATTTTCGGATATGATATGTTTATGAGAAATCGGCAGTGTCGTCGAGGAGGAGGATGCGTACTTTACGCGAAACAATCGCTGGCAGCAACGACATTCGAGAATCCAGTGCTGAATAATGTGCAAGAGTCACTTTGGCTTACGATAACGATCAGACACCAGCAACTGCTTGTTGGTTGTATATACAGCACGCCAAACTGTAGCCAAGAGGATTTAGTAGTTTTGACGTCTGCATTTGAATGTGCCGCAAGCCTTCCGTTTAAACACAAGATTATCGGTGGTGATTTCAATCTGCCATCGATTGCATGGTCTGCAGGAACTGCTCCTCTGAAATTTCATAATCTTATCTCTTGTATTCATATGAATGGTTGGCAACAACATGTCTCCAAACCTACCAGAAGAAACAGCATCCTTGATCTCATTTTCTCGCTGGGCATACCTGCTATTAATGTAACGGTCCTTAATGAATTCCCTGGGAGCGACCATCGGGTGGTCAAATGCTGTTTAAGATTACGCATGGCCAATGAACCACACCCACTGCACTATCGTTTATTCAACTCCGTCAACTGGAACACGTTTAAGGATATGGTTCGTTCGATGAACTGGGATGATTTCTTCCTCTCTCCATGCCCTCAAAAAGCAGCAGACGTGTTCTATGATATCATCGGTCTTTGCATTGATTCATTAGTGCCTCTAAAGTGTGCCCGCCTAAGAAAACAAAAACCCGATCGCAAAGTGTTAGGTATCACACGCAAGCTTCATAAGATCCGGCGGAAATTCAGATTAACAGCAGACTTTGCGCTAATACTGCAGCAGGCAAAGATCATCGAGGAACTCGGGCATCTAAATGTTCGCAATCTCATATTAGAAGAATACAAAGCTTTGAATGGCCCGAGTAAAACAACGGAACTGCCCAAACTGTTTCGTGCCAGAGGTTTGCGTCGCAGTAATTCCATCAATTTTATCATTATGCCGGATGGCACATACCTTGATGCTCCGGGTGAAATTTGTGAGGCTTTCAGCGCCTATTTCGCCGAATCAATGGTTGATGAACCGCTAGCCACACCAGCGCTTGTCACACCACACATTGCTGAAAGTTTATGCACAGTGGAATTCACTATTGCAAAAATCTCCGGTCAAGTCTCCCGCTTGTCTTCCTCGACTTACCCAGGACCTGATGGAATTCCCCCTTGTTTGTTAAAAAGCGGTGGGAGCGACTTGCCTCTTCTATTGCTCAACATTTTTACGCTCTCTTTTAACAGTGCAGTATATCCTAAGCACTGGAAGACTTCCGTTGTTATCCCGCGGCATAAGAATGGAAACGTTCACGAAATTAAAAACTATCGCCCCATCAACCACACACCTGTAATATCTAGAATTATGGAAAGGATAGTGAAAGATGAATTACTTATTTTCTTGAATAAGAAAAACGTCATCAACAATTCACAACACGGTTTTTTGCAGGGCAGATCTTGTGCGACATGCCAGACAGACTTCTTAAACCACACAACGGCTGCCATAGACAAAGGCAACAGTGTTATTGTCCTGTTCTTAGACATGCAAAAAGCATTCGACAGAGTGCCGCATCGAAGACTACTCCTCAAGCTGAAGGAAATAGGTATTGGAGAACCAATGTTTTCTTGGTTGTCGTCATACCTAGCTGACAGACATCAGGTGGTGCGTATTGGGGACCGTGTCTCTAAACCGAAAGCAGTCACCAGTGGAGTAATTCAGGGAAGTGTACTTGGTCCACTTCTTTTTCTCCTCTACGTCAACGATGTATTTCATAGAATAAGACATGGTGCTACTTTTCTGTTTGCTGATGACATTAAAATCGTCTACTCACAAGAACGTGCAGATACCCGCGCAGCCTTGTGCCACATTCAGGAAGATCTATCGGCACTTGAATCCTGGAGCAAACTGTGGCAGATGTCCTTTTCCGTGGACAAGTGTAATATTCTGTCGTACAAATGCGAAGTTCCACCAGACAGTCTATTATTACAAGGCACGTTTATATCACAGTGCAAAGTGATTCGCGACTTGGGTGTGCGGTATTCCACTACCTTCAACTTTTCGGAACATTGTGACTTCCAAGTTTCGAAAGCCATGAAGACTATTGGCTATATCTGTCATAAATTTCAACTCACAGAATCTCGTATCTGGCTTTATAAAACATATGTGTTACCTGGCATGGAATACTGCTCACTACTACAGTCGAATCTGCGGAAATCTGACCAGCATGCTCTTGAGAGGGTACAGCGACGCTTTACAAAGAAGCTGTGCGGATATTCCTCCAAGATGACCTACAGAGAGCGCAGTGAAAAACTTGGACTTGACCCACTTTGGCTACGGATAATGAAGATGAACTTGTGTTTCCTGTACAGAATAATTCACCATCACATGCACAATTATGCTAACTGTGTCCATATGTCCGTTAACACTAGATACGAGCTACGAAATAAGGAGACAACGGTCATGATTCCAAAGTTCAATACGCGAATTAGGGAGCGTTTCTTCTTAATACACTGCTCAAAGCTTTGGAACAAACTTCCAAGAGCTATCAGAACTTGTTGCACATTGCGTTTGTTTAAGCTTTCGATAAAAGATTATTTAACCGTTCAAAATGTGATAATAATGTTTCGAACAGCACAGTCCTTAGATAACGCTTTTGAGAACGGAGTTAATGGTGCCTGAAAATGCATGTGGTCAAGTGCACAAGTGGTTATATTTTGTTGGCCCGCAGCACTTTATTCTCTTTTTTTCTCGTGTGCGATCAACTCTCATGTGACTGCTAAAAACTTGTCAGACGATAGAACAAGAGGAATGTAAATATTTTGGACCGCTTCGCGCTACACAAATTTTCATTTTGTGCTCACATTTTTTAAATTTATTATACCATGATATGAAACTGCTGTACCATTATTTGATCCGTCCCTTCTGGGAACGGCTTCTCGCATCGTCGAGCCATATACAATTTATGACTTGGGTTGCTCCAAGCAATCCGAAAAGGCCTTGAAGACCGGGAACCAACACGTCGGGCTGTTGCGACGGGCGTTTGGACAAATAAACAGCTCCATATTTCAACAAATGCTCAGTGCGTTTGTTCGCCCCCATGTCGAATACACAATTCAAACCTGGCATCCATGGCTGAAACACGATCTTAATGCACTGGAGCAGCCACAACGCCGGGCATCTAAGAACGTAATTGGAATACGTAATCTTTCCTACCAGGAGAGGCTGCAACGACTGGGATTGTTCAGTGGAAGCTATCACAGGCTACGAGGCGATCTGATTATGGCATACTTGATTCTGCTAGACCCACATCATGTGTGCCGCCCCTTACTGCAACTCAGCAGCAATACAAACCTGAGGGACCACTCATTGAAACTCGCAGAACAATACAGTCGTCTGGAGTGCCGCAGAAATTTCTTTTCCATCCGTGTCTGTCACCCGTGGAATGCTCTCCCAGAATCGGTCATCTCTGCACCGACACTAACAGTATTTAAAAGACGGTTGGACGATGCACTTATCCACTTACACTTTGTTACTTAACACTATGACTCTATCCTACACCTGGTGTATACCATGGAATGATTTGTTGTTAACTGTGGGTGCTATGAATCTAAGAGGATCGCAGGACTGCAGTGAAGCAAACGATAAGTCCTCATTTTCATATTTAAAGTATTAACTATCTTACTATCCTTATCATCCTTATTGTTATATTGATATCCCCACTAACTATCCAACGGGACTTGTAAAGCAACGCTTCTTAACCCGTATAAATTCATTGTTCATTGCAAACTCTCTTTATACGACAGTGCAGTTACATTTGTAATCGCCCGAACTGACGACTCCATTATCCCTTCGCTATCTTTTTTTGTCACGCTAGACACCCTACGGGACATGTCAAGCACCTGCTTTTTTACCCGTTATAAATCATTGTTCATTGTTCAACATAGTCGCGAGAAATTGAAGATGGCACATAAAGTGATCAAAATACCTTAGCAATGGAGAAAATAAACGAAGGTAAACAACTTTCATTTAAGCGACAATTGCAATTTCTTAGGTTATTTAGACAGAGTTTATAATGAGGTATGAAAATAGGCATTAGGGCAAGGTAGCAAAGCAGCCAGCTGAAATAAAGTACCTCAGCACCTAAGCACGCTGTTAGTAAATCGAATGCATGATACCTACCAACGCGGCGCCGGTTCTGCTTACGTTCTCAGCAGGACCCGTCATCGTTTCGATGTTGGTCCCAAGTGACCTTCCTCGTGGTTAACTAGGCCTGCATGACTAGGGTAATCACGACCGCATGTGCTACAAAACCATGCGCTTGAAGGGTCTAACATCGTAGCACCGGTGCGACACGGATGCCGTCACCATTGGATATGCACTACCAACCTACTGCTTGGTCATTGCAGTTAGATCAAGATAGCCGGCAGTGGGACCGACATTGATGTCATCTACCTAAAACCTTCCAAAACGTTCGACCGCATAAATCACCGCATCCCTCACCAAAAGCTGCAAACATACCGAGTGAGACACACTGTCCTTAGATGGATCGGAAACTACGTCTTTCAGCGGCGCCTTCAAGTTCGAGTTCGATGTTCAATTTCTGATCCAAATGATGTGAACTGCGGTGTTCCATAAGGGTCGGTGTTGGAGCCGCGGTTATTCTTGTTCTTCATTAACGACCTTGCGAGTGTCATCAAGAAAACATTTCCTGGTTTTTACCGACAACATAAAGATATGGT